ACACTGCTGCTTCGGGTTTCACGTCGCCGCGCTACTATCCCAGGATTTCACGACTCCGCGTTACTTTCCCCCCGTCTTCCACACTCCGGTAGAAACGTATCCCGTGATCTGGTGCTTTGATCACTAAGCCCACACCAATCACGCCCAGTGCCTCCGACACTGCTGCTTCAGATCTCACAGCTCCGTGTGACAATCCAGGATTTCACAGCTCCGTGCTACTTTCCTCCCTTCTCTTGTTTTGCTCCAAAACAAGTGTTGTCTTGCTTCCAACTTCTGAGACTCTGTAGATGATCTTCAATGATGCGCAGGTCTCTTTGATGAAGATAAACACTCTGGAATGATTTCTCTTGATAGCTCTGAGTGTTTTCTCTCTTTGAATATATCAAGTAAAGCACTTGATATTTTTGCTCTGCTTTGCTCTGTTTAAGAACTCTCAGAATATTTCTCTTTGAGGCTCTCTGAGTTCTTTTTCTTTTCTCACTTCTCACTTGAAGATTTTTGGTATGCTCTGTACCAAATGAGATTTTTGCTCTAAGCTCTTTTCAAGCTTAATTGCTCTATTCGATCCCTTTTATGGATTCGAATTTTCTCAACTGCTCTATCTCTTTTCAAGTTCGTGTTATGCTCTTATTCAAGTCTTCATATCTTCATCATTTTATAGCTGGTAATGAGAATCTGTCCGTTGGAAAGAGACGCTTTCATTTTTGAAATCTTGTATCTTTTTGTCAGAGATCTTATCTTATCCTCTGCAAAGATGTCAGAAAGGATAAGCTAGCCGTTGTTAGAGCTTCATCTCCATGTAAATGGGTTCTCAAACTTCATCTGATATTTCCTCTGATTTTACGTTGAGTGGGAATATCTGGGTGTAGAACGGCTTCTCTGATTAGCTCTGAAGTGGTCTTTGTATCTTTGGGATTTAAAAATATTCATCAATTTAATCCCATACTAGTTAAAACTAGTATTTTTCCTTGTGAGAATATTTTCACTGTAAGTTCATCTTCATTCATCTTCATATTTTCATTTCACACTTCAAACTGGCTTTGAACTTCTACCCAATTTCCTTTGTAATTGACACAGACTTCAAACTGGCTTTGAACTTCCACCCAATTTGAATTTCTCCTTTGTAATTGACACCCAATTTCAATTGGCTTTGAATTTCTCCTTTGTAATTGACACCCAATTTCAATTGACAAGAATTTCTCCTTTGTAATTGACACCCAATTTCAATTGGCTTGTCAATTGGGTGTTCACAGACTTCAAACTGGCTTTGAACTTCCACCCAATTTGAATTTCTCCTTCAAACTGGCTTTGAACTTCCACCCAATTTGAATTTCTCCTTTGTAATTGACACCCAATTTGAATTTCTCCAATTTCTCCAATTTGAATTTCTCCATTATAATTGGCTCCCAATTTGAATTTCTCCATTATAATTGGCTCCCAATTTGAATTTTCTCCAATTTGAATTTCTCCATTATAATTGGCTCCCAATTTGAATTTCTCCATTATAATTGGCTCCCAATTGACTTTGACTTGCAATTTCATCTCAATTCAATTCTACATTGGCTCCCATCTTGAATTGATATTTTACCTTGTAAAATTATTGATGGTGAGTTTCGAACTTGAGCCATTTCACATAATATATCAAGCATCATCCACTTCGTTCGTACAGCTTTTGATTAAATCTCCAATCATATTTGATGTACTCCTTTCTTTCCATAGATGCTTGATCTCCAAGTCAATTTCATGCATTCTTCCAACATTAATTTTCTTCACGAAAATTCTTCTGGGATATCTTCTTTGAGTAGCATTGACGTGAATTATTGTATCATTCATCTTCTTCTTCAATTTGTCATTTTCTCCAGACAAATTTTTGATTTTCGGCTTTATATCTTCTTCTTCTATTTTAATCCATCTTCCTCTGTTTTTCTCTTTTCATAATTAAATAATTTCCCGATCATGGTCTAAGACTCTACTAGACCTATAAAATAAAATTGGGGGATCTACAAATACAAATTTGGCATATCAAAACCATTACACTTTATTCCTAACAGGCTCGCCCTATGGAAACTGAAAATACCACCCAAATGGAAGATCTTTTTATGAAGAGCTATAAGTGATATTCTGCTCACTACCACCAACTTGCTTATAAAGAGGGTTGATATTGATCCACATTGTGCTATGTGTGGTCTTTTACATGAGGACACTATGCACTCATTAGTATTGTGTGACTATGCTAAATCCATTTGGGATAAATCCAACCTCCCACTCCCAAATATTGACACAAATATTTTCCATGTTTGGTTTAGTGAAATGTTGAATATTCTAAATCATAATGGAATTGTCTACGCAGCTGACATACTATACCATATATGGAAAGCACGGAATGGAGCGGTGTGAGATGCCTGTTTACGAATGCCCAACAAGTTGATGGTAACCATTACAACCACCATGCAGGCATGGTTACGTGTCCATCACCCGGCCGCCAATGCACCACCCGTGACGGGATCCTACCAGGTAGCTGCTGTTGGAGCCTCAACCACGATAATGCCAACGGGTGTAGTGGATCACCGTGCTGCTGCTCGGCCAAGGATGTGCCATGTCGACGCCGGCTATCACCAAACAACCAACTCGAAGACTGTTGGTGCGGTGCTCTTCGACAGCGATGGAGTTTATGTAGCAGCCTTCAACGCTCCCGTCCAAAGTTGCTTCTCTCCCCTTATGGCAGAGGCGGTCGCTGTCGAAGAAGCTTTGTCATGGCTAAGAAACCGGGGAGAACAATTTATAGAGCTATATACCGATTGCAGCACGCTACAGAGCTACCTATCATCTGCTCAAGCCCCGTTTCGCTCGTATATTGGTTAGGCTATTGATAGGTGCAGGTCTATCATATCTACTTTCCACAACTGTTTGATCAATTTTATTCTTAGGTCGCAGAATTACTATGCGCACACTTTAGCTTCTACAACTTTTGATAACTCTACTGCTATGTACTGGGACTCAGTCCCACCTGAACACCTGACTCGATTTCAGGTTTTCTTTAATAAAACCACAATGGTTTCCTTTAAAAAAAAATTTATTGTGTAGACCATGGTCCATACAGTGATGTGTGGTAGAGGTGAGCAAAAAAACTGGACCGACCAAAAAATCAACGACCAAAAATCGAACCGTCCGAATATTTCGATTTTCGGTTCGGTTTTAGTTATTAAGGTAAAAAAACTTTGGTTATTCCGATTGTTCAGTCGGTTATCGATTTTTTGCAAGAGAAAACTGAAAACTGACCGAAAAAACGAAGATTAATCTAAAGAAAAAATAATAATCTAACCCCATTCCATTTATATTTTACAAGTCCATAGTCTATCAATCAATATAACATCCCAATCCACTTCATATAATTGATTATGAAGATCATTGAGGCCAAACTTACACTCGGAGAAGAGCTTCAACTTCTGGGTACTTTTCTTCAATGTAAGCAGTGTAGTACCTATTTTCATCAGTGAATATTGTTCGACTTTTGTGGTTGAGAGCTTGCCAGAGAAGGGTCTCATGTGTGAGGCCAAAAACGAGGAAATTAAGGGATGAGAGCACTGGCGGAGGATGGATCTGAATGTCTGAGAATCAGTACATGATACAAATGAAATTACCAGATTTACATTGCTCAACCACCCTATGTTACATTGGTTTACAACTTTACATCACCAGATTCACCGTTTGTTGACCGTGATCGACGATCTCCAGAAGAACCTTCAGCTCTCGTCGGAGCACGTGGAGGCCTTTAGGATGATGTTGCACTGGTTCAGAAACACGCCGTCTTCTTCTCTCTGGTACGAACTCAACTACATGGATGAAGAAAGACGACCAGATTTGGTAGATTGCTTTCGACAGTGGATTCAAATGTAACAGTGCGGTCTGAAAATGCAACCGGAACCTTAAAAAATCGAAGGTGGACCATGAAATTACATATATATCCTCAAAAATCACAGTCAACAAATGGTCAAATAGATGGAGGACCAAATCGTGTCAAAATTACAAAGTTAAGGACTTAATTGGTCGAAATTGAAAGTCGAGGACCAATTTGTGAATTTAGCTATAGTCGAGGGACCATTTTGAGTATTTACTCATTATTTTACAATATACAAAATGTGGTCCATACAGTTTGTGTGGACCATGGTCCACAAAATAATGAAGGGAGAAGTGTCAAATAGGCCCATGTACTATTGTCAAGTGCTCAATTCTCACCATAAACTAAATTAAAGGCTAATTAACCACACTTACCTACTAAATTTGTTCAATTAACTTTTTTTTGCAAGGTCCCTTCGGGGACATCCGATAAAATTGGAACGATACAGAGAAGATTAGCATGGCCCCTGCGCAAGGATGACACGCACAAATCGAGAAATGATACTTTTTTGCAGGTAATTAACTTTTTTTTTTGCAGATTACCAATTCAATTGTTAAAAAAATAATTTCAAAATAATTTAAAAATTATTAAAAAAAAAAAAAAAGAAGAATACAGCCACCGACTGTCCTTGCCGGACAGCCGGTGGCTGTATTCTTTTTTATTTTATTTATTTATTTTAATAATTAAATAGGTAACCTGTTATTAACCTGTAAAAAAAAAGCTAATTGAACAAATTTAACTCGTAGATGGACTTATTTGACACTTAATTTAGTTCGTGATGAAAATTGAGCACTTCGTAGTAATAGATGAGCCTGTTTGACATTTATGCCAATAATGAATGATCCATCAATCCATCATCCACAAACTGACAAATTTTTTCGTTTTAGTTCAAGTGCATGAATATTGCACTAATCTATAGAGAGTAAATTAATCACGTTTTTAAAAAAATCATATCCATTAATTCCATTAATTGTAACAACTGAAACAGTGTATGGCTAATTCCAATGCATAGACTCCATTGGACAGCTGAAATAAACGCCGGTTACACCACGCAGCAGCAACTACAAAACCTGACGGCAAAACGGATAAACGGTGCGCCGTGGGTCCCACTCGTCCGACGTGGCTACAAGCCAGATTAAACTAATTAACTTAGGAAAGTAGAACAAAGGCGCCCGCGAAAAGCTCCGCCTCCGCAGTGCTCAGTATTCGTGAATTTCTTAATCAAACTCTAAAAAAAAATAAAAATAAAGTTTTTCACTGCTAATCGGAGCTGATATTCCGGCGAGCTGCTCCGGAGATCCGTACGGAACCGTACATTCGGGAGTTGGTGCTTGTCCGGGGACGATTGGATGGGATATGGCGGAGCCACCGTCTTCGCCGGTGAAGGACAAGTTGTTGAAGGGGATATTTGCGGTGGCGGGAATCATGTCCACCCTCGTCATCTATGGTGTCTTACAGGTAACGGCACTCTTTTTATGTATCTAAGATCGTTAAAATTCGATTTTATTTATTTAATTTATCACGATGTAATGCATTGTGTGTAGGGGTGTTTGTTAGGGTTTATAAATTGCAATTGAAAGCAACTCCATACGTTTTACAGTTATAATCATTTGATGTGGTAGCAGATAAGAATGGTGCTTCAAGTTCATATTTTTATCTTTTTTTATACTTAACTGTGAAGAGGCTTGAATGCATTTACACCAACTCTTTTTTTTTTCTTTTTTTTTTTTTTTTTTTTTTTTTTTTTTTTTTTTAAATGGATTGCAATGCTATTGTTCTATCTTTCAGCTGTTATGCTATCATTTTATTGAACAAGATGATGGAAAAAATTTTCCTTGCAGGAAAAGATTATGAGAGTTCCATATGGATCGAATAATGAGTATTTCACTTACTCGTTATTTCTTGTATTCTGCAATCGCATTTCAACCTCTGCTGTCTCTGCTGGAGTTTTACTGGTAATTTGCTATTAAATGAAAAACCAGCTAATGTTGCATTTCATCCTACCAGACACTCTACTTAACATGATTTTTGTTCCTTTGTTCTTCTCCTCAAAATGGGGAAAATCAGGGATTTTCACATGTATGAACAGATGATTATAGGGTTATACGTATGATAGCTCTAAGTCACTAATTTCCCTTATTTCCGTTTTCCTCTCTGATTTCAGGCAAGTAAGAAGGTCTTAGATCCCGTAGCTCCTCTTCATAAATATAGTGTTGTTTCTATTTCAAATATTTTGACCACAACGTGTCAGTATGAGGTTAGTCTTGTATCTTATGATATTTATTGCTCCATATTTCTTACCACCCCCATACAACTGTTTTGGAGCATTGATATTCTCTCACTGGAAATGTTGTATATAGAAGATGTAAAAATAACTATTTTTTGATTTCTTGTTTCAGGCCCTCAAATATGTCAGCTTTCCTGTTCAAACCCTAGCAAAATGTGCCAAGATGATCCCTGTAATGGTAGGTTAACTTTTTTATTTATGAATTAACTAAAACGTCAATTCATTTGAAGGGGCGGACTTTGGAAAAATAGTACTGCCTAAACTCATATCAGTGACTCCTATTACCATATTCCCCCTCCTCTTTCCTCCCTCTTCGTTATTAATTGCCCATGTCAAACCTTCCTGCTCAGTATATTTCCAACACCAGAGTCCACGCTATTTAGTGTCTCTTATTAAGTATTGCATAATTGCATTTATCCTTATGTATGGAGTGTTGTGCTTGTATATAGATATTTTATACTTGTCATTTGGGTGTAATGATGGTTTGTGCAGTTGAATATGGTAATATGGTATTGCCACCTTATCGAACCAAAAAAAAAAAAAGTTAGCTTGCATATTCTTTGATAGACATGATATAAGTTTTTGAATGAAGTTTTGTATTTAATATCTGTTTCATTCTGTGATCATGTAGATATGGGGCACTCTCATCATGCAAAAGAAGTACCATGGACCGGACTATTTGTTGGCTTTCCTGGTGACAGTTGGGTGTTCATTATTTATTCTATACCCGGTAACAACAATTTCTTTATCTTGCACTTGCCTATTGAGGATACTACTTATGCATACAAGTAAACCAACCAAATCTAGAAGGAAACATTTCATGTCTAGAGAGATTGGGTTATCTTCGAAAGTTTTAAGTAAAATTCTTTCTAAACCTTCCCCTTTCCCTTCTCCTATAGCCTGATAAGAGAGTCTGTCAGGGAACCAAGAAGCCACACTTATTTTCTCCCCCGTAACTTCATTGCTTATCTTCTATTTATCAAGTGAGCTCAAGTCCAACACAGCACTTTCATTTCTGAAACAGTCATTTTCCTAGGTATCTTGATGCTTCTTTAATACTTCACGTAGTACAACATAGCTGGGTTTAGATCGATGTTTCCTATATCATACTTATGTCTATGTGTGTCTGTGCCTGCAAACTGTCAAACAAATAACTTTCCAGATGCACCCAACAGAGTTTATTGGCCAGTCAATATGATGACACTGCTTTCTGCTGAAAATTCTGCTAATTTGAGAACAATGATGAAATAATAGTTTGTTTTGAGAATGTTAAGAAAGGAGTATCTTTGACATTCCAACTTCGGGGACTCTTTAGTTTCGGCGTGACATTTGATGGAAGTTACAACTGCATATTTTAAGCATAGTACTTGCATGTGCCTATACTAATGAAAGGATTTTAACTAGTTTGGTTGGCGTGAGTGACCGTGCACTCTCATCCCATAAGAGAGGTCGGGAGTTCAAAACCCCCTCTCGTATGAAAAAACCAATATGGCCAGCACTTTGCCTCTTAATTGGGTTGACCCGGTGCAAACGGGGATTAATCTGAGTATGGTACGGGCTTAAAGGTGCCTCCTATAGTTAGGGCCTATTCAGGACACCTCGTGGTCTAACCAAAAAAAATATTAATGAAAGGATTATGCAATTTGCGATACTGAAAATAGTATCTTAAACTTGACATCAGATGATGTCAAATGATGATTGTGCATGTATGTGGTTTTGGCAAAGGGTTGCTAAATACTGAATAACAGTTTATCGTTTCCAGACTTAATATCAAAATATCTGTGATGTGTTTTTGGTTCTAGGCAGCAGGTGATATTAATCCTTACAATAGGGGAAGGGAAAGCACTGTCTGGGGAGTCTCCCTTATGATTGGGTATCTTGGGTATGAATTCAACATTTGACTCTCATTTAAGGCAAATTCTCCTATGAGATTGTCTCACGGATGATCTGTGAGATGGGTCGGATTTTTGATAAGTATTACGTTTTCCCACATAAGTAATACAATTTTCATCATAAGTAACTCTTCAACTCTTAATATTACATTTTGATTTAAAAGTATTACATTTTTCATGAAAAGTATCACATTTTTCGTCATAAGTATTACACTTTCTTTCATAAGTAACAGTTAAACAAATTATCCATGATTATATTTTTCCTCAAGTAACTATTCAACCCTAAATATTATATTTTGATTTAAAAGTATTAAATTTTCCCTCAAAAGTATTACACTTTTCTTTATAAGTAACAAACAATTTATTCCTGATTAGTATTACATTTTCCACTATAAGTATTAAATTTCCATCATGACCCGACCCGTCTCACAGATAAGGATCCATGAGACGGTCTCACCAGAGACTCACTCATTTAAAACCTTGAGTTTTTCCATTCAATTTATTTTCTTATATCCACTTGTTTCCCTCTCGATATTAAATATTTACAGTGAAGTTATATATAAAATTTTACGGTTACTCTGCAAATTTTTGTGGTTAATCTCCACTCTTTATTTTCAGTTCTGACATATTGTCGAGCTCCTTTAATTGTGTATATGAATGCAAACTGAAAAATGAAGAATACTATCCTCCCCACTATGTGAACTATTTTAACTTACTAGCTTCTGATTTTCCTCTCTTATATTTTCAGTGACAAGTAAAAAATCTTTTGTATTGCAGGTTTGATGGTTTTACAAGCACATTCCAGGACAAACTGTTTAAAGGCTATGATATGGAAATACACAATCAAATATTCTACACGACATTATGTTCTTGTTTCCTCAGTTTCATTGGTAGGATTCACTTTATTGTTGTGAAATTTTATGATTGGTTGATTTTATTACTTTATCTTTTGTATATTCTGCTGGTTTATTCCGCAGCCATCTTTATGTAAAATTTGACTCCCGACTTTCCAAGCTCCTTGTTTTTTCCTGTTTTTAGAGACGGGGAATTGTCTGGTTTTCTAACTAAGTACCTTTCTGGTTCATGTTTAGGTCTAATCTTACAGGGAAATCTTGTCATGGCGATAGAGTTTGTTTCACTTCATCATGACTGTTTCATTGACATTCTTCTTCTTTCAACTGTAAGTTGATTTTCTGCAGTCTATAAATAAAATATGAAGCCAATTATATAGTGAGAAACAATACGATCTGAATTGCAGGTGGCAACAGCCAGTCAATTCTTTATATCTTATACCATCCGTACTTTTGGTGCTCTCACCTTTGCTACAATAATGACCACAAGACAGGTACGAAGAGGAAATTTGACATCTAAAATTTTTTGACTTAACTGCACAAAATGTAGTGTTCTAATCTGTAATTTGCTGTTGGTATAGTTAGTAAGCATTTTCTTATCGTGCTTGTGGTTTGGCCACCCTCTGAGCTGGGAACAATGCATCGGGGCTGTAAGTAATTGAAACACTCCTTCAGTTAACATAATTCCAGAAAAAAAAAAAAAAAAAAACTGTAAAAAATTAAGTCTTGTTTTATTTCTTCTTCAGGTGATTGTGTTTGGTGCCCTTTACTCAAAAAGCTTCTTGAGAAAGAAACCGAAGCCTTTGCCCATGGAAGACCCGGAGAGTGGAGCTTCGATGCCCTCGAAGGGGAATAACATATAAGACTGAACATTGAAGGCCTCACTTTGCATCCGAAGGATGCCAGCCGAGATAGGATGAGACGTTGCCCTTGCGCTTTCCCCAAGTTTTGGTTCGTTCGCATTCCTTTTCTGCTTTGTGCTTCAGATAAACAGGAGTAGGTAGACAGTTAGGTTAGGCAAACTGACCATGTTTTCTTTGGTGAGAAAGTAGGAGATGTAGAACTCGGAAAGACATACATAAACTATTTTTCTATAGCTGGAGCCCCCTGTAGGTGCCGTGGGGGAGCTTTTCTATACTTCTTGCTTTCTTTTTTTCTTGTTTTATCATGAAATATTTGATTCCAAGTCCACTTAATCCTACTTTTATATTCACAATTTATGATTTAATCCAAGCCTTGGCCTATCCTAGTGAGAAACAATGCTCATACTGTGCACTGTGGATTAGGTTCGGATGGTTTTACCAAGATCGGGTTCACCATAAAAGGGTATAACAATATTAAACGGGACAGGAAAATAATATTTTTATTATTGAGGCGTGAGGCCTAATAGAAACATGTACAAAGCCCAGAAGACAGGTTCAAAATGAGAGCTCAAAGAATAAATAAATAAATAATGGAGGAACTAGTAAATAAATATAATAAAGACAGACTAAATATGTTCCTAACGAGATTCGAACCCAGGCATACCAGTAGGAGGGGAGGAGACTAGACCACTGGACCAAGAGTGCAGATGGTGTCTAAGGGATGCCTTACTTGGGCCAGACCCCTCACCCCCTTTTATACTGTTAGCGGGTGATCTTGCACCCTCCACGTGTATAGGTGGTATAGCATCAGAATGGTGTCAACTCTCACCAGACACGCGTCCCACATCTTCTCATCGTGCGATTGCCTTGATTCCTCATCCACTCACCACGCGCCATGTACCCCAAACATTCCACCAACTCCACAAAGAATATGGCAAGACAGACAAGTCAGGTCGCTAGCGAGACAAGCGGCGCGCCGTCGAGCGCGAGGGAGTGACGAGTGCGCACACTGTCACGCACGAGGGGCGACGGGCGCACGAGGGACCAGGAGTGCAGATCGTGCCCTCGCGCTTCCCAGGCAGCCCGGACACGCCGTCTAGGCGCTAGGGGTCGTGACCAGCCCCCGGTGGGTGCCTTGGCCCTCCGGCACGTCAAATGGAGTTTCATTTAAACTTTGGTTTGTTTGACCAAATTTAGTTGCTGTTTGACTGCCAAACAGCTAATATGAGTGTTTGTGCTAATCATTATGTTAAATTATTATTCATAACCTATGTTTATTCTATTTTTATTCGAATTTATATTTTCAACATTGAATTATTATTAAATAGAAAATATTTCTTTATAATTATAACATTAATAATAATAATAATAATAATAATAATTAAAAATAATTAATAACAACACAACAATAATAATAAATTGTAAAAGTTGCATTCAAAAAAAAAATAATTTGTAAAAGTACTTTAAGAGTTAAGTAAATAATATAATACTTATGTCATTGTAATTCATTTTACACACCCACCATCATAGTTCAACTTATAGAGTATCCGCAGTTTAACTTATAGAGTATCCGCAGTTCAACTTAGGGTATATCATTTTCTTTTTTCCCTCTAATGCATGCTTATAGAGTATCCACAGTTCAACTTATAGAGTATCCACATTTCAACTTATAAAGTATCCACAGTTCAACTTAGGTATATCCAACCAATGTTTTTTTTTTTTTGTTTTTTTTCCTCTAATGCATGCTTAGTGAGAAAAGAGTGTTTTCTAATTTGAAAAGTGGGCGCATCTGGGTGGTTATTGGTTAATGATGCCCCTTTGAGCTTCAATAACGTAATCAGTGTTCAAGGTTTAGTTCCATGTTCCTGGTTTGCATTGGGAAAAATGTTTTGTTTCAATTTAAAAGAAACACTAAAGTGAAGAGATGCGGAGCCTCGATCTGCATACCTCTCACATGCTATGCAAGCACTCTACCATCTGCACTACACAACCTACTCGGCAATTTGTGTCTGCGTTGAATTTTAAATCGATGTTTCTAGTTTGCATAGTGAAAATGGTCTGTTTCAAGTTAAAAACAAAGCACAGATATGGAGATGCGGGGTATCGATCCCCGTACCTCTCGCATGCTAAGCGAACGCTCTACCATCTGAGCTACATCCCCTACTTGTTGCTTTTTGTTAATAAATAATATTTATATACTGAATTAGATCTTTGATTCCAATTTGGGCACAGGGTTATTAATATCGTTTTTAGACCTCACAATTTATATCATATATACCAGTTTATTTATCAGTATTACCATATTATTTATCATTATCATTACTTCATTTACCATAGTTATATATTCAAAAAATAGATTTAGATCATTCATCAAAATATTCTTATATTCTCTCCGTAGCCATTATCAATCTTATATACCCCGTAATATACTATTTAGGGAGATAAATCATAAATCATAATTAGACAATCATTAAAATGGATAAAGAATCAAAGGTTATATCCATATCGTCGCTAGGTCATCGAAATCCTCTTTTACTCTGCCACGAACTCCCTTCAACTTATTGATTTCAACAGAAAATTGATTATGCTCCACGGGACTTTACAGATTCTTCCTAGTTCTAAAGATATAATATAATATCTAAAGTTTATCTAAATTTAACAATTGCTCTAAGACAGTCTATAACTGTCTTTCTTCTTCATATGCTTTTAGAAACGCTTTGGTTATATATATATATATATATATATATATATATATATATATATATATATATATATATATATAGAGAGAGAGAGAGAGAGAGAGAGAGAGAGAGATTTGTTTAAAAAAAAAGCATAAAATGACATGGAAAGTGACTATTTTGTGGTACAAATATTAGTATGGTCTACTTCTGATTTGGGTCGGATCAAAGTGGATTCGGGTTCTTCGCAGTCAGACGAGAGCTTAGCTTGATATATTGCACGCTCAAAACTGATAATGCATGAATGAGAAATTGATTTTCAAAGTAAACCCATTTGAGTTGAAAAATGAAGGTGGAAAAACTTTAAAGTAGTCTTTGTCCTACATTGATTTGGGAAGTAGATTTGCACCACTATATATACAATAGTTTTTTTAAAGCATATTAAATTATATAGTATAGAAATTATCTTTCGCGCTGGGGATGCAAATCAAATCCCACAATGAACTTGAAGATACTTAACTCGCACCTGCGGGCACGAACACGAAAAGTGGATGATGACCTAAACCTTTTTTTTCACCTTAGGGGTAGCATATGAATTTAAATTTTTACAGTGTCTTGAAGAGTACAGTAGACTACAACACTACATTTTGTTTTATACAGATTTTTCTAAAGCTATACATACTTTGTCTGCCACGATTTTTATTTTATTTTATTTTTATCTTCTTTTTTCCCAATTGTCATTGTTGATAAGCATAGATTTTTTCTTGTTTTAGGTTGTCAAGTGTCCTTCTAGTTTCTTTAGAGCATCTTCGAGCTGTCTTCTACCTCTTTCATGATCTTTACACGTACATTTTTCAATTTCACCGGATTGGCCTTCCATTGTAACATTTTGTAGCACATTGGGCTATTGAGCCATAACAATTTTGTAATAATTCTGTAATTTTTGAAATATTTTGGGCCATGGACCGTAATAGTGTTAGTGTAGAAGTTTACATTTTTGTAAATTTTTGAATTATTATTATTATTATTATTATTATTATTATTATGAATGTTATATATATATATATATATATATATATATCTACTATATATACTAATAAGAGTCCAAGAGAGTTAGGCCTACAATGGGTAGAAAAAATGGCGGTCACAGATTTTAATCAAATGAATGGTTCAGATTGATTGAAAGATTGATCAGATTTAAATTTTACACTAAAATTTCCTAAAATACCCACACACCGTTACTAATTCCGTTAAAATTTTAAGAATTGCCGTTAGTTCACCGTTAACTTACTCATTGATTTCAATAGAAAAAGGTCTTAGGTTCGAATCTCATCCCAATCAAAGTTGGCATAATTAGTAATCTATTTTACTCTTATTAAATTATATAAATAATAATTTAGTAGTTACAACAAAAAATAATACATATGCATTTATTTAATTTATAATTATGTGTCAATAATGCCTTTATTCAAAAAAAAAATTCATTATCAATAAATTAACTAAGAGAAATAATTAAAAAAATTAATACCATGAAAAAATTAAAAAAATATAATTAATAAAGCCAACCATATTAACTACTTGAGAGATTTTGTGACAAAGAGAGTATTCAAATCACACAACAAATTGAAGTGAGAACTAACTCGCAATGTCCTTGTTTGACAATCAGCAGTTAGGGGTTAGCGTTAGCGGATTATACTAGCGGATTTGGCCAGCGAATTTATTTAATTATTAACATTGGGTAGAAAAAATGACCGCGAAATTATTAAATCAAATGAATGGTTCATATTGTTCAGGTTTTAACTTTTTTCTTTTAAGATTTTCTAATTTATCCTTAATTATATGATTATCCATTTAATTTTTCCGTTAATTCACCGTTAGTCTAATTCTAATATTAAAGTCTAATATAGAATTATAACTACACAATTAATCTAATTCTAATATTAAAGTCTTAATAGAAGTTAACCACAAATCCTAATGTCGGAATCTCCTCAAACAATATTAGTATATATTTAATATTTTATGCCCTAATTTTTATTTGTTCTCCCTTATGTCCCTATTTGGTTTCAACCATACCTATACAATTATTTTATTGACAATTATAATCAATCTTGACTATATTATCTTGCATTTGTAAACTTAGAATTACCTATTTAACCCGCACCGGCTTAGCTCAATGGTTTTGAACCTCGGCGGCGGCAGTGCGGGAATTATGTCCAAAGTGGGCAGATTCCTTGTCCACAATGCTCTGTCGGGTCGGAGTGTGGGGGGCCCTTGGGGTTGGAGACTCAACCTTTGGGAGAAGAATTACCTATTTAAATACGCAAATTCAACCTTCAATTATCTATGCATGAACAATTTCAATATAATCCTGCCTTAATATACTTTAAAGTACTTATTTAAAAAAAAATATTGGGCATTATCCCAATCGCGCAATGCGCGTAAAAAACTAGTATATATATATATAGATACGTGTGGGAGGTTGAGAGCTCGTAGCCTAGGGTTTCTTGAGTTCGAATATTATGTGGTTAATATCCTTTATTTCTTTGTATAAATAGTCTAGTTTGTATAGTTCTATTTAGGGATGTGCAAACCCGAATAAATCGTCAGGTCAACCCAATCCGATCGGGTAAACCAGCCCTTTCGGACCGAACCGGCACCCGAATTCATTTAACCGAACCAAGCCAGCC